ATAGCCCACACCAAATGTTTGGAGATCCTACAAATGCGTTAATTACCGGTGACAATCCCATACCTACTGGTGACAATCCCATACCTACCAATAGGATTTTGATAGCTATTTTAGGCTATGGTTGCTCCCGATCTACGAGTGTCAATGAAACAGAGTCACCATTGAATAATCGTATCGTGGATACAAAGAATTTCACTAATCGCACAGCTCCAGTTTATCATGACAAACGCTTGACAGATGATGACGCAAATAAATCTAAGTTCATCATATGTCAAACCACATACTGCAATGGTACCATTGCTAATGGTGCCACCAGTAAAGCTATCCAGTGGTTAAGAGAGAAATGGCAGGAGACATGGAAGGAGGATTACGATAATCTACTGGTACTGATACCGTATGGAGGCCAGTATATGGAGGACGAGACCATACAGATACACAAGGCAACAGATGAGGGTATCATCATTGTATGTGCTGCTGGAGAATTAGGAGGGGGTGTGGTCTTTCCAGCAGCTTTGGGTATTGTTCTCTCAGTGGGTGTGGCTGATAACGGACCAAAGGGAAGAGAAGTGGATATACATGCATGTACATTTGGGAGCTGTGGTCCTGCTGCTGCTGTGATCACCTACCTATTAGCAATTCTTCTATCACGTATTAATTCTTTGTTCAAGTCAGAACACCCCACTGATCCTTTAAATCGATCAATGGCTAGTGCTATTAAGCATGCATCTACTTTTCGTTATTTACACACTTGTGTCATTCGTGAGTTACTCGTCAGCGAAGGAAATGGGTCACATAATCCTCAACTAGGATATGGAGATGGAGTGAAAATTCTAAATCGTCTCTCAACCAGCATATGTGATGGTGATTTGTTACAAAAGCTGGCTGATGTCTTGCCCACAGATGATGCTTCTAACTCTAACCAAACTATTACACCAAATGCAATAAACACAGAAGAGATAGATGCTGAGAAGAGGGAGGAGTTGTACCATGGACTTAATGGAAGCAGAATTACTGTTACTGTGCTTGACTATGATGAGCCAGAAGAGAGAATAGAACAGATGGGCCAATATAACACGAGTTTTAAAACTTTCCGAGCAGCCAGTATATATAAAAGACACGGAGAAAAATGTGCGTCTGTCTTACACAGAATTAGTCCAGAGGCCTCAATATGGTGTGCCAATAATAGAGAAGACGACTATCATTTGGCTTTCATCGACTGCAAAAATCATGAGCCACCAATTGATGTCATCTCTTATTCTTTATCAGAGCCTTCATTCTGTAATGACATGTGCAGAGTAGTTAATGAAGCAGTGATGGCTAATAAGATTATCGTATTTGCTGCTGGTAATACAGGAAGGAAGGCACGGAATACAGTAGAATATCCTGGTCATATTGGTAATATATTAGTCATTGGAGGTTGCGATGAATTTCACAATCATCGTATTGGATTCAGTGCCATTGGAAGGGAAGTGGATTTCCTTGCTGAAGGAGAAATAGCCACAAATAAAGGCACATATAAAGGCACATCATTTGCAGCTCCAGTGGTTGCTGGATACATAGCATTACTGCTTCAATTTATAAAAGAGAATATGAACACAGATCAAGACAAGATAAGAGCATGGTCTAAGAACGAGGAAGGAACATACGAATGGAGAGATATACCAGCATTTGATGCAGCTCATAATGTTTATGCCATGCGTACTCTACTGAAGCTCTTGGTTCCTAAACCACAAGACCACACTGAAACTGAAGGATTTGGATGCCTTGACTTTTCAAAACTTTTTCCTTGCTACTGTATAGAAAATAGCCATGAATTAGTGACAGGCTCAGCTAAAAGAAGAATCCATGAGACACTACAGAAGTTTTACAAACACATGTAACTTATTACATATGCATGCATAACCAATACTGAAATGTATAGGTCTGATTAGAATGATAGCAAAAGAATTAAAATTAATAGCATACAAAAAAATTTATTAGTATTGTTATTATTATTATTATTATTATTATTATTATTATTATACAACACAACACATACACAATTAAACACAATAATTATCATTGTTATTATTACTATTATTATTATAAATGAGTTAATGATTAATACACAAAATAGCGACACCAGTTTAACCTATTAGTTAGATCTATAATTACATGTAAATACCCAATAATGAATTACTATTACCAGTCTAACCATATGCATGTAACATAAATGGAATAAACATGTTAGAGCCTTTTTCTACTAATAATCAAAGCTTAACTGAATTATCTGATTCTTAAAACCTGGCAAACCTCAAGCTCTATGAATATAATTTTGAGTCACTCCCACTAGTGACTAGCCTTATTTAAATCATCACATGCTTGACCTCAATATGGAAGAATTCAACCAGGATAAAGATATTGATCTTTCTCCTTTTCCAAAAGAAAATATTTGGCTTGACAAAACTACATTTAACTTAGTGAAAGACCACATGAGGCAGTTCACAAGTGAGCGGTATAGAAATATCATTTCCTGCTACAGAGCTGAAGACAACGCTTTTATAAGAACTAATTCTGGAGTTTGTAGTGATAGAGATACCCACCCCTTTGAAGGAATAAGCTATCAAATTTGCAATCTCTTCTTTCCCATATGGATCCTACTGGCCCTTATACCAGAGGAAGAGGAAAGGGGCTTGACTATTGACAAATTAGTGGTAGCTGTATTTCATGAAGAAATATCATCTTATATAATTAAAGAGCTGCGTCCACTCGTTGGTAAAGGTTCCCTTATTATAAAGAAGCTGACAATCATGTGTTTAAGCAAAAATACACTACCCAATATTACAAACCTAAAGGAACAACTTGAAAATCTAGGAAATGTCAAGTTTGAACATGTCAAGCTGAAGGTGGTAGTTCTTCCAATTTCTAAATCAAATTTGGAAGAACTATGTGCTGCTTCTAAAGGCTTGGATAAATTGAAGCTGATGCGAGATTACACACATGAATCAAATGTAGAAAGAATATCAATCGATGATGACGTTATGAAAAAATACTCTGATCATTCTGAGGAAGACGATTTAGCAGCTGAAACGCCTTTACTTAAAGGTACTCGTGATAGTCCACACAAAATGTTTGGAGATCCTGCAAACGTTAACATTACCAGTCAATCCATGCCTACCAACAGGGTTTTGATAGCTATATTAGGCTATGGTTGCCACCAACCCATGAGCACTAATCAAACAGGGTCACCATTGAATAATCATATTATTGATAAAAAGAATTTCACTAATCACACAGCTCCAGTTTATGGTAACAAATATTTTACATCAAAGACAGACCTCGTCATATGTCAAACCACATACTGCAATGGTACCATTGCTAATGGTGCCACCAGTAAAGCTATCCAGTGGTTAAGAGAGAAATGGAAGGAGACATGGAAAAAGAAGAATTATGATAATCTACTGGTATTGATACCGTATGGAGGCCAGTATATGGAGGATGAGATGATACAGATACACAAGGCAACAGACGAGGGTATCATCATTGTATGTGCTGCTGGAGACAGAGGAGGAGGTGTGGTCTTTCCAGCGGCTTTGGGTACTGTTCTCTCAGTGGGTGTGGCTGATAATGGACCAAAGGGAAGAGAAGTGGATATACATGTACCTGTATCTCAGAAGGCCTTTTTACATTGTAGCGCTTTATCTCGACTAATTCCTAATTCTCCAACTCCTGTTCCTGGTTGTGCTGCTGCTGCTGCCATATTCACTGGCCTATTAGCTCTTCTTGTATCACGTATCAATCATGTGCTTGATTCAATCCTCAGTGATCCTTTAAATCAAGCATTGGCCAGTGCTATTTGGAACACTCCTGGTCATTTACACACTTGTGTCATTCGTGAGTTACTCGTCAGTGAAGGAAATGGGTCACATCATCCTCAACTAGGATATGGAGATGGAGAGAAAATTATTAATGACCTTTTAAGAGCAAGTGATGGGGTTTTGTTAGAGAAGTTGGCTAACGTATTGCTCATAGATGATGCTTCCAATTTCAACAAAACTAAACATACTAAATTAAATACAATTTATAGCATAGAAAAAATAGATGAAGAGGAAAGGGAGAAATCATTTCATAATCTAGATGGAAGGGGAATTTCTGTTACTGTACTTGATAAGGACATGGAAGAGAAAGAAGAATGGATAGGTGAAAACAAAACAAGTTTTAAACCTTTCCCAGCAACCGGTACATATAAACGACACGGAAAAGATTGTGCTTCAGTCTTACATACAATTTGTCCAAATGCCTCAATATTATGTGCTAATAATGTAGAAGAGCTATATCATCTGGCTTTCACTGACTGCATAAATCATGAGCCACCAATTGATGTCATCTCTTATTCCATATCTATACCTTCATTTTATTATGACATGTGCAGAGTAGTTAATGAAGCAGTAGTTACTGGTAAGATTATTGTATTTGCTGCTGGTAACACTGGAAAGAAGGAACGTAATACAGTAGAATATCCTGGTCGTATTGGTAATATATTGGTGGTTGGAGGTCGTGATGAGTCTCATAATCGTATTGGGTTTAGTTCTGTTGGAAGAGAAATGGATTTCCTTGCTGAAGGAGAAATAGGCACATATAGTGGTACATCATTTGCTGCTCCAGTGGTTGCTGGATACATAGCATTATTGCTTCAATTTATAAAAGAGAATATGAACACAGATCATGACAAGATAAGAGCATGGTCTAAGAACGAGGAAGAAGCATACGAATGGAGAGATATACCAGCATTTGATGCAGCTCATAATGTTTATGCCATGCGTACTCTACTGAAGCTCTTGGTTCCTAAACCACAAGACCATTCTGAAGCTGAAGGATTTGGATGCCTTGATTTTTCAAAACTCTTTCCTTGCTACCTTATAGAAAATAGCCATGAATTAGTGACAGGCTCAGCTAAAACAAAAATCCATGAGACACTACAGAAGTTTTACAAACACATGTAACCTACATGTATTACGCAACTAGATGTATGGTTTTCTTAATTCATTAATGTTTTTGGTAACTTTCTAAGTATAAATTAATGAACTAAGTATCTATTATACCCTATTTGGTTTTCTTGATTTTTTTTCTAATTATAAACATTAATGTATCATTACATCTAACATTAATGACGATAAAACATTTATTTCCAATCATACAGTTATATTTCAACTCACCACTTCCTTGTTCCTCTATCTTTCTTTTCTTTTTAGTAGAAGAGCAGTCTTCAGTTTCCTCAACAATCTTTTCTTTAGCTTCAGTTTCCTCTCCACAAGCATCTAATAAATAATTTTCAGCCTCAGTCATGACTTGAGGTACTAGTGGCCTTACCAGTGACTTCTTCCTTTTCTAACTGCTTTTCCTTCTCCTGGCTTTCAACAACTTGAGTGTCTACCTCATTAGTGGTAGCAGTCTCCTCGTTCAGCTTTCTTTTCTTCTTCTTTTTAAGCATTTTGAGCTTTCTAATACTTTTATCTCTCACAACAGGCATGATGGTCTACACGTGGGGGG